CCGGTCGCTTGGCAGTCAGTCATCCGTTCTTTCGTCGGTCCGTCATGGGGGTAGACAAACATCGTTGGGCATCAAAAGGCAACGAGCACTAGAACAAAACATGGCGACGAACGACAGCGACGGCTAAGTCGCTGCGGCAGCAATGCCAGAGGAAAACACGATCAACTAATAAGAACTCGTCTGTGCACCAAGCCCCCTTCACGGAGTAGCGTCCTGTTTTCGGTGGCACCTGATTCGCGTCACGTGGTCGAATCCGATAACGACAAGGAAATATATTGTCTATGCCCATGTTTCCTTGTGGTGATATAGCAGTCGCAATGATGCCGCTTCTCCGAGTGATTGTATTTGTCTACGCAAAGAGCATTGCGTACATGCGATGCTGTACTTTGCTATGCGCTAGTTGAGTCCAAGCGTATGATGAAATGTTTCGTCACATCAGCTGAAAGGGCAGGCGATCTTTGGATGAGCTGATATCTTCGCGATATCTGCTACCATTATAATAACTATTGCTACAAGCGATCATACTACGAGCTAAGTACTACAAGTGAAACCAACGGTCAAGAAGAAAAAGTGCGCTGATCTTCACCTCAATCAAGCTAAAACAGGGAAAGAGGCCTCTCAAATAGAATCGATTCTTTTAAATGACGGACATCCTCATCACACGGAGCAGCTGAGATGCGTGAACGTTATTTGGGGATGATGTAAATTTGAGCAAGCCTTATTGTTATTATTTTATGGCTACTGGGATATTTGGGATCTAACTGTACGACGTACACATGCACATGCACAAATAAATAGACAGTCCTTTTTTTATGGTGTTTATGCAGATGTTCATGACGCACCGTAAGGTGTGCATGTTCATATATATATATATATATATATATATATATATATATATATATATATATTGCTATAAACCGCAAAATAATAGCTATTCTTCCAAATGACAAGAAATAATCTGCTCGTTTTAAACACACCTATTATCTAACGCCTATCGTCCGATCATTTTGTTTTACGAATATGGGTTGCTCTTCTTTGATCTCATTATGCAGAAGGATAACAAAAAGGGGAAGGAGACCTAATCTATCGGACAGTTTTAATAGATTCAGGGCTTCTTTTACGAAACGGTTTTAAAGGTCTATGTGCAGCAAACACATGGACTGATGCAATCCACCAATGAATATGTCACTGGTGGAATGTTTGACCTGTAGGGCATGCATGGGCCGCGCGCAGGACAACCACTAAGTTCCATCTTCGTTCGGGTCTGCGCGCTAATCCCGGGTCGTTATGCCTATGACGTTCTTTTAGCACGACGCGCCATTGTCTATTCGTAGTGAGAAGGTAGAAGTAACTTGTTATAGCTACCGTATCTGATGTCCGTTGTCTGACGTCACCAACTAGGGGGATATACCGTTCAGAGGGTTTCGCACAACGGAGATCTACAGAGATTCGCTAGCTTTTGGGGGCCAATGGAGAGGGCACGCTTGAATCCATGACAGCCGCTCACACGAGGCCATGAACGGCCAACGGTAAGATGCTGCTGTTACCGTTGTTATTACTGTCGTGACCGTGATGATAGTGATCTTCTCTATCCAATTGGTCTCCGTGCACGTTCCTGTAACAAACAGCGCGCCATTAGTAATCAGCCGTTCTTAAGTAGATAGCACATGGTCGCTCAAGAAGTCTCTTGAATGAACACGTTCCTATCATTAGAGCTAACCAATCCGCGCTCGAGGTAACTGGCACTACTTCTCATGTTTTTTTGAAAAACTGCAAAATTCAAAGTTAGCATTTCACGAAAGAGTAAATACAAGGTAGCGGATTATTAATACCTTAAAACAAGAAACGTTTAAACGGCAATTCCAAACGGTTAGGATTGCAGTAGCGACCCATTGTTTACACAGCTTAATTTTTCCTATTGTTTTCATAGAACCGAAACTTGTCATTATGAATGCGGCTAAAAACTTGGCCACAGGCCTCTTTCAAGCTGGAAAGTCTCCAATTGATAGGTAATTTTTTTTTGCAACAACTTCCTAATTGTATGTAGCAACAATCAGCTTCTAATTGAATCAAGTTCCCATTAGATCAGAGGCATATATTATCTAAAGGAGATCATACTTGAAATTCCCCCTAGCGATGCTCCACATGCGCGAATCTGCTCTAAATAGCGGGCAAAATATTAACCCGAGCATTGCCTTGAAGAGATACAAAAAAGGCTACAACAGCCCTATCGTAGCCGCACAAAACTACTATGCAGCACATTATCTTGGGGCCGCCGTCGTCTGGGAAGCCAACGCACAATTCTTCGAGCGCGTTACAATGGTCGCCATGACCATACGCCCGGTGCTAGCCAAAAATTCCAGCATAGGTTGATAGTTATCCTGGCGTATGGTTAGCATGACGGTTCATAGATTTGTGGGAAAAAAACCCAAATAAGTCCAGGAAACCCATCACAACTAGATCTTTTAGTGGGGGGCGAGTCCTTGATGCTGTACCGAAGAGCGGATTCCTTAGACTTGTTCACACAATAGGAATAGTCAAACGGGTTATAAAATTCATAAGAAATACTTTACAGCTAAGTTTGCTAGACTTTCTCTCGGGCACACAGCCTGCCAGAAAGGGCACCAACCCTCAGAAGAAGTTCCTCTACTTGACATCTTTGTATCTGATAAAACGATCGAACTCGGAGAATATTATAGAACCCTGACATAAGGTCCCAAAGACGAATTCAGATATTAAAATGTAAAGGTCTCTGTCTCATCACAATAATGTTTCCGCTCTCCAAGTGGTAATTGCCTTTGCTCAAGTCGGAGGTATTAAACTCCGGAATCATTGATCATTTCTCATTAACTCGGGACGCAAGTTCCGATTATTAGTTCTTCGACGAGAATGATCACGCGTTTCAAAGTAGATCATCGCTCGCACAACTGATCCCTGAGGGACGCTGTCGGTCAGAATTCTAGTCAAAAAAGAAACTGTCTATTTGAAAGGGATGGGCCGCGCCTGTGTATATTCGGCCTGTTGGATCAGGCGTGCTCAAACCAGATTACACTAGAGAAGAAGTGATCGAGATGCTTTCCCCAGAGAACAGTTTTTTTCCACTCTAGAAGCTTCCTTTTGAACCATCCAACGTTCCCGCGTTCTTCTCTCGATCGATTACCGGCACACGGCTGTTACCAGTCAAAGCCGACAGCCTAGAGAAAGTATAAGCGTTCAGCTGGATATGCTGCTATATCTGTGTATATGTATGTCTAAGCGCGTCGTGCCAGCAGCCACGGCATCAGTACCTACTGTAGAAGCAGCAGTAGTACTGGCGTAGTACTTCTTTTAAGGCACTAGCATCAATAGCAGTAGGCGTAGCAACAGTTAGCAATGGATTTTTCTCCTCTCCCCGAAGAGAGCGGGGCGGCTAGAGTGGGCGAGTGAGGGCAGCACTGGCGGCGATGGCAATCATGATGGTGGCTTTCGTTTGCTCCTACACCCGCCGCTATTGCTACTACCGTCGTCCCGTTGTTGGCGTTGTCATAGTTGTTGTTGTTGATTGCCGTTCGGTCTCCTCCATTGCTGCTGGTGTTGATAGTGGCTATGGTTTGTGGCGTCTGCCTTGCTGGCGAGCTGCGGGTCGCGCGGTTCGGCCCGGTTCAGCCCAGGCAGGCAGGCAGGCAGGCACCAAAGAGAGAAAGAAAAGGAGAGAGTAAAGGAAAGAAAAGGGGGGATGGGTCACGCGCGGAGAGGAGAAAGCCGACTCGAAGAAACGACGCGGCAGTAAACGGCCTGTGCGTCGCTCGGTGTGCTTGTCCGTCCGTCCGTCCGTCCGCCCATCCGTCCGTACGTCCGTCCGTCCGTCCATCCATCTGTCTGTCCGTCTGTCTGTCTGTCAGCATGTGTGTGTGTGTTTGTGTGTGTGTGTGTGTGTGTGTGTGTGTGAGTGAGTGTGTGTCTGTGTGTGTGTGTGTGTGTGTGTGTGTGTGTGTGTCTGTCGGTGTGTGTGTGCGCGTGTGTTAGTGAGTGTGTCTGTGTGTGCATGCGTGTCTGTTTGAGAGAGAGAGAGAGAGAGAGAGAGTCAGCGCGTTATATGAGCGACCTGTCGGCGCAGCGTGGGTCAGTTCAGTAGTGTTGTTAAGGGTCGCTGGATGTGTTTACACGCTTCCGAGCTCGCTGCTTGACTTGGACATGCTCCCTCTCGAGCCCGCCGACTTCCATCTTTCGACAGGCAAACAACTCTCAAACGCAAAGGACGTCTCTGTGTTAATATCGACGATTACTTCAGTACTATCAACGTGTAGAAACGGCGCCAACACTCACCAGGACGACGCAGTCAGCGCTCTGTCATACGGACTTGCATGACAGTAATTTACGCTAGGGAACTTTTTCCAATTCTAGTGTGTGTGTGTGTGTGTGCAACCTCGTGCCACCTTTACAACAAGAACAACAGCTATATATAGCTACAGCGGCTATATTATTAAGCTTCAAGTAATTTGTGTGTTTGAAACCAGTTAAGTAACAAGCAATTATTATAGAACGACAAGTTAGAAATAATAGTAATCTTAGCAAGACAGAGTCGCAAGATAGCGAGGCGGTTGTGCTACATTGTATCCGCTGAACCGCAGTGTTTCGGAGGAGCAAGCTCAAGAAGCCCCGGATGCAACGTACAAATGGTTGTTTACTTGTACAAGAACAGACGTGTACGACCACTGAATCAGTGTAAGGCTTATCGTTATCAGTCGTTAACATAGCTGCTTTAGTGAGCAATTGTATCAGCGACGAAGAACCACTTTCATCGTGAAAGACAGAAATCAACGCATTACCTTTACCATTCTGTAGCAGAAGTTGGACTGAGATAAATCGCCGTCGCCGACGATGTCCATTCATATATCTTCGGTTGTCGTAGTTTCTCTCGTTGCCGTCTTGTGATTATTGAACGCTTAGTACCGCAAGCGTGCGCCTACGTGAGTCAAATAGTACTCACTTCGACTATATTCCGCTCTGGTGATTCTCAGTGGTCCGGCACCAAGTTATGAACCGTGGGTCGTGTATATTCGGTCGTAGTTCGCTCCTCCTCCCGGCACTGCTGGCAGTCCTACTAGGCCTGGTGGTCCTATGCCAATCTGCAGGAGCCTATGTGCTGCCACGTCGTGGAGCAGTATCCGGTCGCGAGCAGAACGTCGACGGTGTGGACGCCGGCGCAGGACCCTATTTCAGCAGACACCTGCGCTCGCGAATTCATCGCAATGGCCGTAAGTAATGAAAACAACTTTTTTCTTACTCTATTGTATCGCACCGCGCATATGCTCAGTCCCTCGGATAGGCTATTTCACAACTGCTTTCAACCGACAGGCAGCGTAGACTTCGGTCGAGTAATAGTTCGAGGCCGTTCGCACCTAAATAAATTCTACGTTACAAAATGAAGATGCGACTGTTGAAATGCTAAATAATTGTCATCTTTTACTCTTAATTTATCGCAAAGATTAGCTACGAACGCGATACGGATTCTATTAGCGAGCCTTATTGAAACCCGTCTATGGTAGCCAGCGTTGGTTTACGTCAACGCATGTCGATGGGATACTCCATTATGACGCTTGTCGCGAGAGAGCGACGGGACCGCGACAATAAGTTGACCTTTAGCCGCCAATGCTTTGTTTTTTTCTAGTCAAAGGTTGCGAAGAGACAGGTCGCATAGTTCCGCCTTTACACTTTCTTCCCGTTATTTGAGTAAATGCCGCCGGTATAGGCCAATGTTGTAGCTTTGGACTGCAACTGCCCTAGCGCTGTAGATGAGCAACTGACCGTCCTCGGTTTTTCTTCCAAGGAGAAAGTTTATTAAGTGGGCTATTTATTATCTAGCTTGTTATATAATATGTCTGATTTCTAGCTGCTAGCTACTAGCTAGGACTACTAGCTATCGATAGATAAACTAAAGGCACACTTCGATTTGGAAGTGTGTTCCGAGCCGTCATATTTGGTTGAGCTCATTTCCACAGAAGGTTTCTCCTTCCGAAGGGAAGATGGGATCGCCGCTGTTAGCGCGCGCATTGCGCGATCTTTAGCCGTTACAGCGTCGTCCATTTACTGGTGCTATTGGACCAACAGTGTGCGCCAGCCGTCGCGAAACCGATGGGACGCACGTGGTCGCGATTGAGCGCCGCCTCTTCCAGTGGCCCTCTCTCAGTTTAGATTGATTAACTGTGTCGCGGCTTTACCCGCTACCGATAGACGAGGATAGACAGCTCCTCGTCTGAGACCATCATGTGTACCCGTATTAAAGAGATATACAACAGAGGTGAATCGCTGATGGTTCGAGGAGTCATTTCAGAGCAGTCAGGGCTACCTTTTACGTGGATCGTTTGAGTTGACTTCAATTGTTTAGTTTTTCCATATCTACTATATGTATATATTGAATATATTTTAATTTGTTGCCTTGCGTTGTAGGAAGTGATCGCCGTCGTCATGGTCGCCTAATCGTAAATGTCACAACTTCTGAGCAAGCTGTTTTCCAGAATGACCAAGCCGTCCTCCAGTGCGAGGCCACCGGTCCCTCCCCGGCGATTGTTTACTGGCTCAAGAACGGAGAAAGGATCTCACAGGTAAAAAGAACGACCAGTAGATAGAGCCACAGCAAAAAAATACACCTCTAGTAGAAACACTGCCTCGTAGACGACGAAGCATTCGGACGTTGGAAGTTGATAAACAGCCTACGGTGCACTTGGCCAGCTAGCAATTAGCTGCCAGCCCTTTTCTTACTACTTAATTAATGCTGATGATCGCTTTCGTGTCATTGTCTCGGTGAATCTCTCACTGATTCTGGCCGAACTAAGCTTCGTAAGCATAAGAACATCAGGCAGCCATCCTGTTACTGTTGAACCAGTCGCCTCAAGTATAACAGTATAAAAGCCCGGAGAGCTCTGTGCAATTAAGGACACTCACACGCACACAGATGCACAGGCATAGACAGCAAACACACACGTACACATGCACACACGCACGCGCGCGCGCGCACGCTTAATATCGTCGAGCTACGAAAAGCAGTGGCTAATAAAACTGTTTTTCTCGTTTCCGGTTGAGCAGCAAGATAATAGCGAAAGCCTGAATCTGGTCTCGTTTGATGATACCGACATCGTTAAATCTACCGATTTTACCCTTACCACCGTCAAGTCGAAGTTGTACATTGACTGTGCTTCAGCTGACGATGAGGCCGAGTACACATGCGTGGCCATTAGCAATGAACAGACGGAGTCGGCGACTTATAAGCTTCAGGTGTCGCGGTCACCAAACCCAATGACCCCGACAGGCTGTCGCACACACGCCAAAAAGTCACATCATATCGGTAAGTCTTTTTTATTATTGTAAAAAATTAATTTCTACAATGAAGCTGATATGATTATAATCTGTGGACTAGATGATCATTAGCTGTGGTTGAGGCCAATTTTGCTTAAGGTCCGCCTTGTCGAACAAGGAACACTTGTGTATGGGTCTTAGAGTTGATTACTGGAATCACCGACGAATAGCTGACCAACCTGTCTACGATAGTCCTAGAGAGAGAAGAATAGATTATTAATGTAATTAGAAAGTGCTTTCGATTTCTAGAAGGAATCGTTATTCACTCGTCAGCCAAGCTGTGAACCTTTTCCTAGCTAGCGATCATCGTCTGCTTTGTTTATTTCATTCTGCAATGCAGACGTCGTAACGGTCAGTCTCGTTACGCTTGTTGGCGCCGGAATTTCAGGCAAGCCCGCGCGTATCACATTCTGGACTCACAACAAGTTGGTGCCACTCAGCTCCAGCGTAGTATTGGTTTGTCGTGCACAAGGCACGAACCCGGCGATTACATGGGTAAACGAGGAGACTCAAGCGATGATCTCGGACTCAGATGCGGAACGAATCCACGTACGTGACAATGGTGATCTCGAGATCAAGAATGTTCAATGGACCGACATGGGCGGCTATGCGTGTCAAGCGGAAAACGAGGTCGGCGCAGACCGCCAGGTCGCCTTCCTCTACCCCTACACTCCATAAGACGCAGGCACGTATGGATGACCACGTCCGACCATCTACGCAGTCAGCTCCTCAATCAGGAGAACAAGATAGCAGGATAGCAGGATGACAGGACTACACTGGAAGAAAATAACCTGTGAAAAAAGTCTATATTTATATACAGACATGTAGATGTATCGGCGGATGTGTGGGCTGGGTAGGTTGTAACTTATAACCGATTATTGGTGCGTGTGTCCAGCACGCCACCCAAAACAAACCGTACTGCTCCGTTTCCTTCCACACGGCCTGACTCGCGCGCCTCGAGGGGCCCTGATTGGACAACAACTTTCTCGTACTCTGTTCTGCCACTCTTACTACTATTACTACTAGTACTACTGTTACAACTAGGCAGAGCCCGGCTCACAAGCCAGTCTCTTTAGTCGAAGTATGGCCCTCCCTCTTTGAAAACTTCTTTCACCTCATCCCGTTTTCGCACTCGTGACAGGGACCACTGGGAAACAAACACGTTTTCACATACACGGACTGAGCTCTGAACCACACTTAGTCTCTGGATCCGAGAGTGATTATTGACCGGATAGCCCTTCTTGCTATGTCTTTCCAAGGACGTTGATGACTATGATGATTCTTGATGATCACTGACTGAGTACTGACCGCGCTTTCTTCAATTCAACGAACCGATACATAGTATATATATAATTAGTGGGCAACTACTCAATGAGATCTGATAGACAGTGGTCATCTTGAACAGAGCGCACCCGTCGAATGCTACACACAAGAAAACAGCACAGAAAAAAAAAATATGGTAAAATTATATGCACGATGTTGTTCTATTTGAGATGGCACCGCTCCATAGAGATGTGTACGGTTCAAACACAGCGCCTGGTCACATGCAATCGTCAGATGGACACCGCACATTGAAAAGTGACAGGATACTGCTCCTTGTGTCTCGTCCATTTTTCTGACCTTACATTCAACTATAGCCGCTTCACCTTTACATGATCAGACTGCGTGTCTAGAATTGTCTTCTAAACCTCTTTCGGTAATTTGCTGCCAGCTTCTACTCTTACAAATACTATGACCACAGACGCTACAAGATAGGGCCCATAGCGTGGCCTTCGGTACTAGCAGCAAATGCCAAAAAGTCAAAAAAAAAAAACGTTAGAAATAACTCTAATCGAGTCAACCAAGTAATTAGCTATTAACAAATTAATTAATAATCATAAATAAAGAACAGCCGTGAAGAACGAATCGCATGAAGACGCACAGACGAAAACTGATAGTTACACATGCGTATACAAGCGATAAGTGAACAGACAAACATATTATGTAATGATTTTTTTTTGCCGAATAAACCCCTATGAGAAGCTAGATTTGTCTACGGAGATCTAGACACTTAGAGGTCGTGAATGATCGATCTACAACAGGGTGACAACAGAGAACAACCGGTACGAAATAGCTGACATCTTTAATTGTCCCGATCCCCCTTTGAAGCGATTCACGACAGCCATTCGAATTCTACAGCGACCGCTAACTGGACCGTTACTTTCCGATCGGTCGTGTGTTCTGTCGTCAGTTTGCTAATCCGGTGTCAGACCGAGTGCTTCAAGTGGTGCTCGTCCTGTTTTGTACCAATTCGGCTTATGTGTACCGGTCAGGAGTTGAAAGCCTTGCCAAAGTCGGCCCATTTTCTCTAAGAATGAAATAATTGAATGAAGGTGTACGCGTTCTAGGACCTTACTTTATTTATTTACTAGCTTAGCACTATTAAATTCAAATCTTATGTACATATTGCTATTTATGTTTAGGCGCATATATGAAATTAACTTAATAAATTTTTCGCAAAGGTGAATATTGTCTGCAAGTAAATCCCGTACGTGTTGTCAATTCTCATAATTTTTTTTATGCATTTATGGATGCGTAGAAGTCAATAGAAGTATTTAGAACCTTTTACTAGACGACAGCGACTACAAATCGCTTCTGCTTGTTATCTGGTTGAATCAATGGATGCACACCAACCACACAAAATATATAAGTACTACAATATAAGGCCTACAATATATATAAGTACTGTATAGTAGTTCATTATTAGTCAATTTTCAGACAGTTCGTAAAAATATAATAAAATATAGGTAATAACACGCCGACACTTTGAGTTTGAAGAGTTAGTTTTCTGGCCTCGAACAGACAAGAGGATTCCTTTAAGGAGGCTAAACTACTCCTGATTTGCCTTTACAAATCAAGCGACAAGACCGGTTCGTGACGATGACTCTTTCTGACAGCCGCGACCATCGTGACGTGCCGCAAGAGAAGAGTTTACTTATACAAAACATTAGCGATACAGCAAAACAACTATGTCAGGGAGGTGGCTCTCGGAATAAGTTAAGCAACGACTAAAACCATAAAGTTCAGGAGAACAATACTGCACATACATACTTCGGCTAAACCTTAAAGGCATCTACAAGGTATTTTGCAGCACGCATCAAGAACAGGATCAAGGGCAAAATGGTACCAGTAGTTAAAGTCCAGAATCGTCGAACGCTATCAATCGACACCGCCCTAAAACTGTTCAATCTAAAGATTGCACCGGAGGTTTCTTATGGTATCTGATCTATAAGGCTTCAGTTGTCCACTCAGCTTCGACACTTGAGTTTCGCACTTCATCACGGAATCGGGATGTATCTGTCAGAAGGTATCTCACCTTGATGTTATCTGCGAAATGTCTGACCTGCACGGAACAAGATCACTTCGCATTTTCACACATAGACGAAAACGGCCGGAACAAACGGACGAAAAAGGACAGATCCTTTGTCCTAGAAATCACTAATGATGGTTGGAAGTGCACTAACAAAAATAGTCGTCACATAGTAAACAGGTTTACAAGTTGAAGATTTCATTAGCTGACTGTGAAAGGTCATAGCCTAAATGCGAGGTTCGTTTATAAGTGTAGTAAAATTAGTTGTTGTTGTAAATAGAAAAAGCAAACAACAAAACAGGGTATTGGAAGCTACCATTTTTAGCTACTCGGCACGAGCTGAGAAACATTAGGTTGGAAATTTGAATAGATCCGCCTTATAGCTTATATCAGATTATTCTGTCAAAATTTCACCCAGAAACCACAGAAGTTTTACCGTGAATGAGTTACAATGTTATCAAAAAAGTGCTAGAAAATTGTCGATCAACATGGCCCATTTTCGTGTATATATAACGACAGCCCACAAACATGTATATATAAACAAATGCTTTGTTACAATTTTCGTTTAAAAATGATCGCTACTTTTTTGACAACCCAATATTATTGATCTTGTTCATAAATGAGTAGAATATCAGATTATTCCTTTTGAAACAGAAAGTTCTTTGTCTGCGTATCTTTTTTAACTAAAAAAATATCTCATGGTATTTCGTAACAAACATAGCACAGATTACGCAAAGCCAAGGCTGTCAGTCATTTACAGCATACAGTTACCTTTTTTTTGACCTCGCCTCTTGCCCTAGAGAGAAGCGTATTTGTCTTCCTGAGGGCATTTAGGCTAAATGTTTCGTGTTTTACGTCCGGTGCGGCCGTCAGGCGTTCCAGCAGACAGCTGCCTCGGAGCACCAAGAAAAGTGGTCCAGGCTCCGATTCGAACCCACACCGTCACATGTATCTCATTGGCGGGAAACACGCCGTTCACTATGTCATCACCATGACGCTCTAAGAAAGTCATCACTTAAGAAACTCTTAGCAAAATGCATGTGCATTGGAGGCTAGTTTCACAGAGAATCGGTAAGAATGCCTAACCTATGCTATACCCAGAATTTTATTCCCAGAATTGCCAAATGTCTGCTGTATTCATGTTGCAGACAATCGACATTGCCATGTATGTTTATGTGTATGTTCTGTATTGAATGTTTTTTTTTGTGGCAACGATTATAGAACAAAGATCGCCTCTCAGATCGTATGTAAATGATATACAAACAATATATATATATATATATATATATATATATAGAAACATCACTAAAATTTGTAGCCACAAATATTCTGTAATGCGGTCGCGTGCCCTGTGGACTTGGGTCCATCACCTAAACAACCGCCGCGAAATGATTAGTACCATCACATCCTATCCGACACTAAATATACGTAAGCCACAACACCGTATCAAATAAATCGAAGGAAAAAGCGCTTGCATAACAGTAACGTAGATTTATTCTTGATCTAATTGTTATTTCGGGCTGTCGACGCTTAGCAGGCCCTTCATTAATTTAAGTGGCACCCGGCGCGAAAATACAAAAAGTCGATGAAAATATATCATGATGTGACGCGTACAAACTAAGCTTAGGCTATTCTAGCTAAGATAAGAATGCTTGGTTACTACTGTTCATGTATGACCTTTTAAAAATGAAGATACTAAGTGATCCAGACGATCTATAAGAACGGAAGTGGCTGATTCGTAAATGGCTTATTAGTAAGAGACCTAATCAGAGTGACTCTTCAGTAGATAATTTCCCAAATATCAAGTGTACAACGAGCGACCAGTTAATCGAAGCGCCGGTAGTATTGTTTTTAAATACTATTAAATCCTAGTCAAAAAGTTAAATAATTAAAATTTTTGATTTAGTTAAAAACCTGTATAATATTTTCGAATAAAGTGCATGCTACTTACTGTTTAGCTACAGGTCTGCTAAAAATCTTGAGAGTAACCCCCTTTTCAAATCAGATCCGTTGGTTTGGATGACTCTGTCTTGTGAATCGCTCCGAGGGATTAAGCGAATATTGGCCGAGTCACAATGTCATCAACATTAATCAGCCATTTGAACTTTTATAATGAATTGGTGTGCATAGACCAAGCGAGACATTGTACAATGCCCAATCGATATGAATGCTACGATTTTCCCTATTGGAACTCAAACAAAGGATCTTCAACACGTGACTTAAATGGATATTTTTCTGTATTTTTTAGCAGCTACTCAGTTCCGTAGTATCTTCTGAACTAAACGGCAGAAAGCATCAGACAAACTGAAAGTACGGCCTTTCAAGTTTTCTTTCATACCTCGAAGACTAACTGCTTAGCAATTTATTGATTATCATTTAGTCAAAATGACATCTATTATTATAATGCAGTGCTGATAGTCACCGGAACGTATCGAATAGATTTCAGTCTAGCATTATAAATTTCAGACGTGATGTTTTTGGGTAAGTTAGTCTAAGAATAAACATATTTGGTTTCATAGACAGGGGCAGTCACGGCGATGGCGGGGTGTTAGCATCAATGCCTGCCAAAGATTTATGGACACGATATGGTCAAGGTTCAAAATCAGGTCTAGTTGTTTAATGTTGGAAGCCAATTGTCTGAAGCAGTGGTTAATAAAAGTACATAAGGCTCGAAAAATTTACGCGCTAGGATATTGCAAAATAAGAGTAAGCCTTCTTTATTTCACAGTATGTTTTGTATGTACGTGCATGAAGCGGGACAAAGCTCAAGCATAGTTAACTAGATAAAGAATATTTAAATAATTAAAAACTAAAAAGAGTTAGTAGAACTACTTCGGTTCTAAGCAAGATTAACATGAACCCTAAGAAGCCCTTCATTAGGCTTCCATGTGACTTTCTGGCAACGATGACTGTGGGATAAAACACTTCATCAAAAGCACAGGTAAATTTTTTTGGTCTACGATCGAACGGCCTATTTCATAGTTCTTTTTCTATTAATTAATTATTAATAAATAGACTTGTTATAATTGAACCTTTTTGTGGTCTAGTTATAAGAAGTCTGTTTCTCGATTTAAGGAAGCGATTGTATGGTGAACTGTATGACCTTTAGGAATGCGACTTTAGCAACGAATCCACATGATAAACGGTTGGCTTATCGATTCCTAACCATCACAATCTAAGCTAGAAAATGTTGACTGAGAAAAAATAAGCAGATGCTTGTAACACTATACATGTATATAATGTATAAACGAATATGTACAGATAGCCTGGCAGAATCTAGGATCCAGTCTATGACCTCTAGAACTATGACGAAGAGATGAATACCGCTATCTTTGCATAGTGTGAATATAAGGGAGGTATCAGCGTAACTAAAACGAGCTGTCTTTCGGTGATTTTAATGTTGCAGCCTTAATAAACCTAATAACTTGCAGCCTATTTTCAGGCCTAAGGGAAAATGTTCATAGACCCATACCAATAAGTGAAAATGTGATTTTAGCTAAAGCAATATGACAACATTTGCAGTACATGGCT